TTTGCCATTCAGTAGAGATAGGATTTTGTCCACTGTTCTTATGTAGAATCATTTCTGAGACTGATGAATTTAATTTCCTTACTTCTTGATGTTTGTTTGTTTGTTTGTTTTTTTTTACTTAGCTTTGTTATATATCTTGTTGCCATTTCTGCAGTGTAGTGTCATAGTGACAGATTCTTATTTCTCCAACAAGGATCTTGAACACTAATTTTATTGTGGTCACTAGTACTTTGTGGCTCAACATAATTATTTTTTTGAACTGGGTACTGCTTAACACTAAATCAAAAAACCCTTCTCCTACTCTGTTTGCAAATTGCTTATGTGAATTCTATACATTTACTTATAAAATAGCTATATTTTTCCATGTCCTCTCTTCTTTCCCCTTACTACTTTCTTCAGTTACTTTCTGCAAGTAGTAGTAATAAAATTATTGGGGATAATAACTATTAGGGATGCTTAATCTTTAAAACTATCCTGAATTCTTGGAACTGCACCTTTTTCCCCCTTCCCATTGAAAGAATATGTGATTATAGAGTATGATTTATAATAGAATATAGCTATTTACATTTGTTAAGTGAATATTTATGAACTGGCTTTTCAAACTCAGAAAATGTTTACTACAGTACCTTTGGTTCAGAATGAATAGCTGTGCCATAGGACAGCACATTTCTGAACCAGGTGGTTGGCAATCATGTATAGTGGTCTCCAAATGGGTGCAGGTTCAATGACAAAAGATGTATTTCTGCAGTAATGTAAACATTATTGTGAGCAATCCCTGTTCTTATTTGACTCTGGTTTTCAGTTCTGAATACCAGTTAATAGGTAACTAATATGCCATTCTAATATGATTATTCAGTACCAAATGCTGGAACTTCCCAGGATAAGAGGAAGAGGGCTGATACTACTGAATTCAGTGATGGTAGCAGTAGAAGAAGTGTTCTTTCTACTGGGAATCTAAAACTGTGTGAAAAGATGTTACTAGTACCTTGAACAGACTAACTCAGAATTAGGCTCTCAAACAGTAATTAAAGTTCAAGAACCCCATTGTTATAATCATTTAAAAGGTGTGGGGGTGGGGATGGTGGAGGGGTTTACAGGACTTATCTACCTACTGGATAGTTCTCTCCCCATGGTCTTCTGGGACTCCTAAGTAGGCATGTCTCTATTATATTTTGGAAGATGCCAAATGAAGCCACTGCCACCTCATTAACCCATTATAGTTTTTGAGACAGGACGAGGACCTAACATTTCCCTCTCACACCCAACTAGAAGAGAGGTGTATATAGAGCAGCAGGTGGAGTAGAACCTCATTAAACACATTTAATTAAAAATAAACACAGTTGTATTTTCCTAGCAACTGTACAGTAAGCTTTTGGGGGATGCTACTGCCCCTTATATGTAGTCGATCAGTAGTTTGCAGTCCTGATAGAGATCAGCGGGAGTAGGAGGGGGTCAAGCTTCTTCCTGATTTTTCTCTCTTCTCTATATAAATTTACAAGGCATTATTTGTTTACATTCTGCATTTGGGGGCCAATCTGAATTCAGGTTTTATATTACAGTCCTGTTCCCCACTTAGAAATCTGCCAGCCCCCTACAGTTGTATTTTGCTTGAGATCTCTCTTTTATATTTTGCCCAACTTCTGGAATTTCATTCTTCTGTGGATGTAATTTAGTACTTTTGTTGTTTGAAAGGTATATTAGTCCCTTTTTATTTTATTTCATTTGCAACTCTGGAGACTTTTCTCTCCACTGGATATACAGATATACTGGAAGAGGCTCCTGAAAGATTTAGTGAGTTACACTTCTGATTTAGTTTACCCCTTCTCTGAATGCTTCTCTGTTACCCCTGTCCAATAGTTCTGAGGCTCATAACATTATTTCTGAATACATCTGGCTGGGAATTTTCCATCAAAATGTTTTTTTTTTATTTCAGTGAAAAAACAGTTTCTGCAAAATTGAAAATTTGGGAAATTTCAGTTTTACCAAAATATTTTGATTTTTTTTCCAGTGAGAAAATAAAATGTGGTATTTCATTTCAGGTGGAGTCAACCTGAATTAACACATTTCTGTTTGTAGAACTAAATCAAAATGTTTTGGTTTTGGCCAGTATATTAATCTGTGTCTGCCTGAGCTGCTGTAGGACCTCATGGCAGTTGCAGTTCAGGACCCTCATGTCCTCATTCTCTTGTATGGATAGGGCTCCCAGTTGGACTGTATTTCCAATAATGCACCCTCATGGTTTGACCAGAAGGAAAATCCATGAGAGATGTAGACCATCCACTGAATCTGGCCCATGGTGGAGAATAGGGGCACGAGGCCCTGTGGCAGCTCTGATAGAACCAGTTCAATATAGAACTGAGCCACAACAAAATGTTTTGACATTTCAGAAAAATTTCAAGTCAGAACTCTGAGAAATTTTGATTTTGGGGCTTTTAATTATAAATTGGGATAAAAACAAATGTCAAAATATGGAATTTCCCATGGGATAAAAATACTGTTTGTTTGTTTGTTTTTTTTCCTACTAGCTCTAATTCTAAAGTGTAAATCGTCTCAAAATAAGAACATTTTGACAAAATGGCCATTTTCCACTGGAAAAAAAAATTTAAGAGAAAACTTTCAACCAACCATACCCATAATCACCCACATCTTAAATTGTACAAATTGAACACTGTGCTGTACTATCAATATACTAAATATAATATTGGGGAAACATGTATTTTGTTTTAGCATTCTCTCACACCAGTAGGCCAGTAGTGTCCCTACCCAGCCCACATCTTGTAGAGTCAAAAATTAGCCTAGTCTGAGCTCTGGTATACAAATGAATTCTTCTCGTAGTATCTATCTTTTGCTGAACCTAGCTTACTTTTTCAGAGGGATAATCAGAGTAGCATTTGAGCCAAAATTGTCCAATGAGTCTTCAGAAGTTAATTAGCAGCTCCTTATTCCAGACTCTCATTTACTTCTGGGAAACACAAATGGTGTTTTGTCAGCAAAGGAAGAACATTTATATCTCCATATTAAAAAGTGTGTGTGTGAGAGAGAGGGAGAGAGAGAGAAAACAGGGCTTATAATGGTGACTCATTGCAACCTCAACAATGCCTATTACAATATATATTTTATATTTTATGCCAAAAGAGACATAAAATATTTCACATTATGCTTTTGCATTAAAAATGTCCTGCTTTGCTTTAATAGTTACATTACTACATTACTTGTAGAACTGAGTGAGAACTGATTTCCTGAGAAATTCTGCAATATCAGTGTGAAATGAAAACAAAAAATAATGGAATTTCCCACAAAATGAAATTCAGAAAAAATACTTGGTTTTTTGTTGCTGTTTGAAACATTTTGTTACATTTTTACCTTTGACATTATTATAAAATTTTTAAAATGTGAAAAAAAGTTGTTTTGAAATGGCAAATTGAAACATATTGCAAAAGTTTAAACAGAATATTTCAAACCTATCAAACATTCAAATCTGGGGTTTTTTTTTCCAATTTCTTTTAAATTGACATGTTTCCATGAAATGTTTTTCAACAAACTGTCATTTTTCGGGTGGAGAAATCAGAATTGTTCTGACCAGCTCTAACTAATGCTCAATCGACTGTTATCATGCATAAAGTTAGGATAGAGCCCTAAAATGCTTCACCATAGAACTGCGGAGGACAGAGGGAGGTAACATGTGCAAGTATGATGTGTTCTTCCTTCTTTGAGGTGGGCCTGAAGACTCTAATTACTTTTGTCTACCATTTTACTGCTTCTCCTATTCTATGGCATAATAATCCACATGCATACAAATCCCATTTTTTAATTATGGAGTGGCGGTAATCGCTCCATAGTTACAGATTGTAAATTCTGATTTTCAATTCTGCAATTTCGTCCCAAAAGCATATGCTTTCCATTTTAACTTCTTGAAAGATTTTACTTAGAAATTATTACCTTATAACGTAATAAGCAAGCAATTTTCTGATAGAGCCAAAGAAGACAGTTTACTTGACTAGGTTTTGCCAACACATACGGTCAGGGTTCCCTCCCCACTCTGAACTTTAGGGTACAGATGTGGGGAGCCACATGAAAGACCCCCTAAGCTTATTTCTACCAGTTTAGGTTAAAACTTCCCCAAGGCAAAAATTCTCCCTTGTACCTTGGATTAGAAAAATGCTGCCACCACCAAGTGATTTAACAAAGAATCAGGGAAAGGACCACTTGGAGTCCTATTCCCTCCAAATATCTCCCCAAGCCCTACACCCCCCTTTCCTGGGGAGGCTTGAGAATAAACAAGATGAGCACAGACCAGTGCTGGTGTTTTTAGGACACTAAAAAAATACCAATCAGATTCTTAAAAAAAACAGAACTTTATTAGAAAGAAAAAAGGTAAAAGAAGCACTTCTGTGAAATTAGAATGGGAGATAATCTCACAGGGCAATTAGATTCAAAACACAGAGAATTTCCATCTAGGAAAAACCTTAAAATTACAAAAAGAAAAACCAGGAATACACCTTCCTCTCAACACAGAGAAAATCACAAGCCAAAACAAAAGATAATATAATGCATTTCCTTGCTAAATACTTACTAAGGAGTTGGAGTGCTTGCTTTCTTGTTCTGCCTCCGGCAAAAGTGACACGGAACAGACAAGGCCTTCCCCCACTCCACCCCAATTTGAAAGTATCTTATCCCCTGATTGGTCCTTTTGGTCAGGTGCCAGCCAGCTTACTTTAGCTTCTTAACCCTTTACAGGTAAGAGGTTTTTGTATCTCTGGCCAGGAGGGATTTTATAGTACTCTATACAGACATGTGGTTACCCTTCCCTTTATTTTTATGACACATACTGATCACCATCTTTCTATTATGTATGGGTCAGCCAAATGGCTCTATTTTCTTCTGCAATGTCATAGAGCTTAATATAGTAGCACATAAGGGGACCTTACAGTACTGCACTTACTCTGCAGTTACTGGGGTTTGTTGAAAGCTTCATATGGTTTTTCATTTTTTCTCTCCAGACTTTGGCTAGCACAGCAGCTGCATCTTGGGTTTCAGCCTGCAACCTCAACATGACATTCCAGGCCTGCCAAAGACTGTTGGGATCTGCAAGATAAAAAGGTACTTGAGATCATTCAGTTTCTAGTATTAAAGTAGAGAAGAACTTGTAGAAGGGGGGTAGGGAGAGGTGGAGAGGTTTGGCAACAAAACCTGTTTTATGCCTTTATCAAATACTGTGTGTGTGTGTGTATACACAGTATCAGAAGAATCTATTTTAAGTTCATTTTAACCCACTCACCTTTTAAAATACAGCTAAGTTTAATATTTATGTATGTGTACCTACACAGCACATTATAGCTCCAATCCAGGAGTTTAAAAAGGTTACTTTCCTCTGAGGTATGTGCAGAGATAGAGGGCTCCTGCATGGAGAGAGCCCGGAAACAACCAAATTCAAGAAGAAGATTTTGCTGAGGTTTATACTTGTGTTGATTTTAAGTTAGAAAAAAAGCAAACTCCAGGAAGTGGGGACAGGGTAAGTTTGAAACATCCTGTGTGTGAATTAAGTCACACAATCCCGGAGGTCTGACAGACAGTAAGGGGGAAGATTGGGTAGTCTGTATAGCTCCTTGTTCCCACTTTGGCTTTGGATTGGTGAACAAAGTGAGTGCACTTGAAGAAGGAGTCTTTTGATGGTGGGAGTTTCTTGCATTTGCATCAGATGCAAAGAGCATGGGCTCTTGCTCATTTTGAGGTCTCTCAAAGAGTCTGGTGGAGTTGTATGAGCTAAACAGGCACAGGGCTGGTAAAGTCATCCTGTCAGAATTTGGCGATTCATGTGAGGTTTTACAGCTTAGGTAAGATCAGCCAGCAAGAAAACTAGCTCCACCCAGAAATTAATTCAATATATATTTTAACTCTTTGAGGACGTAATTCTTTCAGTCCCTACAGATTTGCCAGTCCTTCTTCTCAAAGGAAAAAATGAATAATTATAAATTCATTGTATATTTCTAATGAGTTCCAGAAGGTTGTCATTCAGGACTATAACTAATTTATATGAAATATATTGCAGTCACATTAGGTTTATGGATGCTATTTCTCTATATGGTATGATTGTGGAGGGAGCATGTATGTGTGTACATATATAATCCTAATGTTTAAAAATCTAGTGCTGGATAGACCCCATTTCTTTGATTGTGTTGAGAATATTGAAGTAACTGATAAAGTAGGATTTTTTTAAATGTTCTCTAAACTCTAGGTTGTCATCTGTTGTTGTTAGAAGATTTTATCACATTGTTTGAGACATATATTTTTTTCTGAAATTCTATATCAACATAACACACATACTCCACCTGCGAATTATTCTATTATAGATTGATTTGGGTGTGCCATTAATATGAAGGCTTGCTTGAATGACTTTTTTTTCCCCACTGACATACTCAGATATTAGCGAGGTACCTTTTTACTTTACTGTCAGCTTCTCTTCTCAGTATTATTCTTATTTTATATCTGACTAAATCTCTCCTGCCAATTCATTTCAAAATTGACGTAGAAAAATCCAATTACATTTCACAATTCTGGTAAAATCAGTTGATGAAAGCTTTACTCTTGTCAGAGGAAGAAATAGCTGTATCGTTTAGACAACATAGCTGTAAATTGGCACCCATGTGTCCATCTTTCACTAAACCACTCACCAGTGTCCTCATGACTATACTGGTACTACTGACATAATCAGGTTAACATATAAGAAGGGACTGTTGGCTTTTATGAAACTGTGTGAAGCTGTAGAATAAATACATAGCTTGACGTATAGTGGATTTATTCTGACCATCTACAATGTAGTTAACTAATATCCTACTAGTACTGGTTGGAAAACTGTTAACTAAAAAAGCATTTTAATGGTTTCTCTGAATGTGGTACCCAACAATGTGGTGATGTAGCAGAGTAGAACAATGGTAGTGATCTTATGTATGAACGAGGACAAAAATGAAAGAAAGCCAATGCAATTCTAACAGTCTCAGTCACACTCACACCTTACTTTCAATCCTTGCAAAGACCCTCTTGGGGTATAGGTATCGAGCAGTATTTGACTTTTTGTTTGTCAAAACACAGAGAACTCTATGCGAAATGAGGTTCAAACTTGACTTGGGTTGCAAGGTTAATGAGACTGATAGGATATCTGTCTGCATCACATAATCACAGCAAAATTACTAATGAACAGAGTCTCTTGTGTGGAGAGATTGGAATAGCAGAGGTATTGGCAGTCTGAGCTGCTGCTGCTGATTTATTATAGTGCTGTGGATGTTCACAACATTCTAGACTTAGTACAAGTATACAAATCAAGAAATGAGACACAAGGTCCCTTCTTCAAACAACTTAAAATTGACAACCTGTGTGGGGAATTGTTCAACCTCTACCTGCACCATCAGTCCCTTGCTTTCATGACCATTAAAGAAATGCAAAGAACAACGAAAAAAAAAATGGAAACAACAAAGATGGGAAACAGATTTAGAACTTGTATTAGCAATACTACCTTTTCCTTTTAAACTCAGCAACCATTAGGTGCATTGTAGTGGTGTTATGCCTCTCTCTGTGGTAACGGACATTGTCAAAGCTGGGATTCTCGTCTAACTGGACCATTGTTCCATGATGGCTGTTCCTGTTCAAAAATGTAAATAGATCAACGTGGAACTTAAAAATTAATTTCTTGCGTGCATAGTGTATTGCAAATGTGAAGTGCTAACATGTTAGATAAGTCCGGAGTATGTATAGTATTGGTATTTAAAAAATAACTATAAAAATAGCTCACATTATTATATAGTGTATTTAGAAACCAATGTTAAGGTAGTTCTGTTTTTTTGCTAGGAAATGATGGTGTCTTTCAATCTAGCCGAGTCAGTCATGTTCCTAACTATATTCCTTTCATAAACTCTGTACTTTGCTTCACTATTTTATTCATACTTCCCCATTAGCAACGGCTCTATTTCCCTTTTAATACAGTATGCAAAAAGATATACCAAAAATCTAATTCTTATAGTATTTGATTTAAAGAATCAAACCAGTCATGTTAACCAAATGTCATAATGCACTTAATTGCTTCTGTCACAATATTGGGTTGTCCGTTAGTTTATGGATAATAAGGTTGGTATGTATAACTTTGTTGGTGAAGCAGAATTAATCCAAACAGTAAACTTCAACAGGGCAATATTTTGATATTTGTCTCTTGGGACAATACTGCATGCCTCTGCAGGTTGTAAAAATTGTATTTTTGCACTTGTGCTATTGCATCTTCTAGACCCAGCAAGACTAAATTCCAATTCACACCATCACTGGTTACAGGATGAAGCATGCCACAGACAGTAAACCAGTTCTGTTATCTATCAGTCATGCAGTTGGCCTGTTCTCTGACTATAAGAGTTGGTATTGCATTTTGAATAAAATGGCTTTATTTGATGAAACCCACACGATCAGCTCTTTTGTCAAGCACCAGATAAATCCCTAATAAAATGGATTTTGGGTGTGAAATCACCTTCTGGTCCTTATTTTGATGGGATTATATATAACTGCTAATACAATCACTGACACCTATATCCGTGTAATGTTGCATACTCTAGAGAGCAAGACATACAAAGTGAAAATGTGCAACATATTTTACTTGATTGGCTATAAACTCTCAGATGAATTGCCAGGTGGTGAAAATAGGCTTCCTTGATGTATTTCAGGAATAAATCCTTTACATCTGATTAAAATGCAGATGAGTATCGTAAACTATTGTAATTTGAAAGGGCTGATCTCTTGATACAATCTGCTTCCATCTGCTTCAGGTGTAAAGCTGGAAGGAGATGGCTACAATACAACGGAATTCAATTTGGGGTCAGATCCAGCCACTCTCCCTCCCTCTCCCAGCTGAACATTCAAGCTGAACCTCCCAATGTGAATCAAACATTTTTTGCTGTTAACTTATTATATTCTGGAGATGTCCAAAAAGCATAATTGGTGCATCTTTATGATAAGATCACTGACAATTATAGCAAATTATAGCTTCTGTCTGTGAAGACTCCAGAAACAATACTGGGAAATGATAAGAATGACCGAAAGGGTAACATCTCACATCATGCCACAAATGTTCTGAAAAGGCTAATTCGGTCCCTAAGGTTTTCCTTTGATGGGTGGTTCATATAACTCTTCCTATATATTTCAGAATAAGGTCAGTGGAAGGCTCTAAATCACATCTTGACCCTACCTACTCGCAATTAACCCTCATTATTTTAATGATCGCAACTATGATTAATAAATCAATGTATCCATCGTTTGGTTTATGGGACTGTCTTGAAAGAAAATACTGCATCTTGGAAGGTTATTGCTTGGCTGGGATGCATCCAATAGGGATGATTGGCAGCTGCTATGCCTCACTCCAAGGGCAGTTATTAGATGTGAGTTTTTGAATATTGATGCCTTACATAGAGGGATAGCAGGAGCAGCATGGTCATTTCTTGCAGTAGTAGTTGCTAGTTTGAAAAAAAAAAAAGAGAAATTGAGAGGTGAGCTTAATAGACCACCTTTGCAATGCTGACCTGTAAAGTGTGTGAGTGAGACAGAGCAGGGAGAATAAAAAGGCAATTTCCCAGTTAAATGATGTTGAATAAATAGAGAAATAGTTACTTTTACTGTAATTCTCTTTTATATTGAAATTATGTAGGCAGGGAGGAGAAGGAAAAATACTCCCTTTCATCTGTTGACTTCTTAGTAAAATATTAAACTCATTCCCTGCAAAACAAATAGTCTGCTTTGAAAACTGGCATGGGATGTAGGGATTAGCAGAGGTGTTGACATTGAGAAATTAAGTTCAGTTACTCAATGGGAGGGAACGACACTCAATGAAGAGAGGAAAGAAATGTGATGCTCAGCTAACAAACAGTAGTATTACCTTTTAAAATGGGTGACTGTCAACAATAGCTTTTTTATTACTTTTGTTATTGAGAAAAGTCATTGAATATTCCATTCACTCTCCTTTTCACTTGATGTTTGATAGACTGAATGCCTCTGTATAGTGAACTCATTTCCTGAAAATGTATTTTTAAAGAATGTCTGAGAGGCTCCAATTCTACAGGGCTCTTTTTTCT